ACAGGGAAGGAAATTCAGCTGTCTGAAGATGAGGAAGATATTTTACAGTGAGGAGATCTGCAATATTTATCAAAGCAAAGGCCACCCCTGAAGATGCCTGAGCGGCTCCCCTGACACCTACAAGGCGGGGGAGCAGAGGCCAGACTTGGGAGGTGACCTCGCACCCATAGAGAACAATAAGTAATTAAGTAAGTGTGACCTGACAGATGGCTTCCTAGAGAAATACTCACACATTTACCAAGAGGGCTGCTGCGGCTTTCCCGGAACAGGGAAAAGCTGCAGACCTCTGCATGTCCATCACGGGGTGCATTCTGTTTTGTTCTGTCTTTGCAGTACTGGAGACAGACCAAGGGCCTCGCACATGGTGGACATGTGCTCTACCCCTGAGCTACAGCCCCAGCCCCACCGCTCAGTGTCCTAACTGTGCCTGGGATTTAATTTATGGAGGCGATGACACAGTGAGGTCAACGCCAGTGAAAAAACTTTTATTGCTCACAGTTCCGGGGGTGGGGTGGACACCATGTCAGGCAGGGCCACATTAGACCACCGGGGTGGGCCAGCAGGCAGGAGTGAGAGGAGAACATGGCCCAGAGCTTGGGTTGTCCTTTCCACGGAAAAGAACAGGCAAAGGAGGGCAAAAAGTGGAGTGAGTTTAGGGTTGGCTAATTTAAATAACGTTGCAGTCTCCAGGCTATTCCTGTGGTCTCCAGTCTGCTAGTGCCTGGCCTGCGGTGATTTAGAGCAGGGGAAAGACTAGCTTGGCGTGGAGAAGTAGACAAACGGCTGGTTGGAGGTAAGGACTTTAGTGGTGGGTTAGTATGGGACATTTAGTGGTGCACCTGTACAATCTTGGGAATTTGGGGGGTTGAGGCAGGACTGCAAGTTCAAGTTCTGCCTGGGCAAGCTGGTGAGACCCTGTCTCAAAATTAAGAATTTAAAAAGGAGTCAGGATGTACGCAGCTCAGTGCGAAGTTTCTGACTCAAGCCCCAGTTCCCTACCCGCCTCCCAGGAAAGGCACCCCACAGGCAAGTTGTTTATTAGCTCCAAGAATTAATTAGCCTAGGAGGGCAGCAGCTCCAGCATCAGCCAGGACCCAGGATGTCAAAGCATCATAAAATACAGAAAATAAAAAAACAGGGTTAATGTATTCAGGCAGTGGCTAAAAACAACAGCGCATTTGTACTTCGGAATACTAAGAATTGCTAAAAATAGCAAGGTAGGTCTTCATGTTCCAAGGAAAGAGCAAACAAACAGGTTGTGGAACAGAGCTGCCTGATTCCATTTGCATGTGGGAAAAGAGAACTACAAGGGGAAACTTCACGTTTCTGTGTGTCCATGTATGTGTGAATGTGTGGACACCACATCCGCAGCAAGAGTTATGTCTGCAGAGGGGGTCTGGATTGGAGAAGGAGAAGGAGGTCTTCCACTAGAACTGCGTAGTGTTTATAATGAACACATGTGCACATATATATACATATAACCGGGGATTAAACCCAGGGACACTCTCCAAATCCCCAGCCGTCTTTCCTTTTTCCTTTGATTCAGGCCCGGGCTGGCCTCAAACATGCAGTCCTTCTGCCTCAGCCTCCCAAGTAGCTGGGATTACAGGCAAGCACCACCATACCCAGCTGTGTAATGCCGCAGGCTGTGGGCTATACATGTGGTCTCCACTCTGCTAGTGCCTGGCCAGGGTTGATTTAGAGCAGGGCAAATATTAGCTCGGCGTTGGGAATTAGATAAAGGGGTGGTCGGAGGTAAGGACCTCAGTGGGTTAGTATACGGCACTTAAGATCAAACCCACACATGCTAGGCAAGTGCTCGACTATTGAGCTACATCCTCCATACCACCAGTAATTTCTCAAACTCCTCTCCTTCCCCAGATAATGTCAAGCCTGTGTGATGCACTGTGATGTGGAAGAAGAGAGCAGGGTCCCTCACTCTGACGGGGCAATCAGGGAGGGCTTCCTGAAAGGGATGAGTCCTGGGTTGTATTCTGAAGCATAGGTGGAAAGTAGCCAGGCAAAGTTGCCAGGGAGCTTTGGGAACGAGGGAACAGCGTGTCCGAGGCGCAGAGGGGCAGCTGTGCGCAGGAGCACGGATCTGAGGACGAAGGCGAGGGGTGAGTCTGGAAAGGCAGGTGTCTCCAGGGACCTCCTGAGCCCAGCTCAGAGGCTTTGATTTACCCTGAGGGCTCCGGGAGCCCTGGATCCGCAGCTGTGAAGCCGGGCCTCGGTGGGAACGGAGGCCTTGAGGCTGTGATGCAGCTCACCCTCCCGCGCTCCAGCCCAGGGCTTCCTTTCTGGCTGCTGCTCGGTGCCTCTGAACTTGGAGGTGCACCAGAATCACCTGGAGGGTTTGTTAAAAGCCCCATCTGGGGGCCGGGGATACAGCTCAACGGCACAAGCGCCTGCCTGGCAAGCTCAAGGTCCTGAGGTTGATTCCCGGTACGGAAAAAAAAAAAAAAGCCCTGTCTGCTGAGTCCCAGCCCCAGAGTTTCCAGCAAGTCTGAGTCGGCTCTTGAGAACTTAAGTTTCTGACCAGTTCCTGGGTCACACTAATGCTGTGGGTTGTGGAACCCCACTTTGAGAGCCACTGGTCTAACAATCTCTCCATTTCCACCCCAGGGCCTGGGCAATGGCGGCTCCCTCTCCTGGGAATGGCCATCCCCAGACCTCTGTCCCTTCCTTGGAGGAGCCTTCCTTGACAACCCACTTTTTTTTTTTTCTTGGTACCAGGTATCAAACTCAGGACCTCACACTTGCCAGGCAGAGACTGTGCCACTGAGCTGTATCCCCGGCCCCTGACCGCTCACTTTAAAGTGCCCCATCTGTCACTATCTTCTTGCCCCATTTTACTTTCTTTGGGACACCTAGGTATCATCAGAAATTATCTATTATCTGGGTTTTTTTGTTTTTGTGGTGCTGGGGGTGGAACCCAGGGCCACGTTCATGCACAAAACAAAATAAATCAAGTCCAAGAAGACAGGCACACACACACACACACACACACACACACACACACACACACACACACACACACTCCTGTAGTCCTAGAACTCTTGGGAGGCTGAGGCAGGGAGATCACAAGTTTCAGCAGAGGCTGGATAACTTAGTAAGACCCTGTCTCCAAAAAAAAAAAAAAAAAAAAAAGCCAGAGATTTAGCTCAGTGCAAAGGCCCTGGGTTCAATCACCAATACTGAAAACAACAACAACAACAACACAAAAAAACAGTCCACAGCCTGACCCGGGGCCCTCAGCCAGCATAGTGTGGCAGGCAGCAGTTGCACAGAATATCTATTAAACTCAAAGTGTGGAGGTTGGGACCCTGCGCCCTGGGGAGCCGGGTGGGCTGTTGACACAGGTTAGAAAAACTCATCCTCTTTGGGGGTAAAGGCAGGGTGCGGTGAGGAAGAGTTTAAAATAGGTGACCTTTTCAAGCAGATGCGGGAGGAAGGAAGGGCCTGCTGACATCACAGCTGTGAGGCCCAGAGCTCCGCTGCGGCCTAGCGGCCAGGGCCACCAGCGCGAACCCCAGCCTGAGTCACTCCCACCTGTAAGGCAGGCAGCGGGGGCAGGCGTGGGGTGGGGCGCGGGGCCGAGGGGCCACAGGTGGTGGCCGTTACCAGCTTGGGCCTCCTCCCTTCTCCCCGAAGTCCCCCTCCAGCCATGCACTGCGCTCTGCACTTGGAGGCCTGGCCAAGGCGAGGGTCCTCAGTTTCCCGTTATGGGAAGCCGGGACAGCGGAGGAAGCATTTGGACTCCAAAGTCTCTGAGAATCAAGGCAGGTTCTCTGCTCATCTGAGTGACCTCACCCCAGCTAGTCACTGTCGCTTCTCTCTCACATCTGTCTTGGTTCTAAAGCCTGGACCCATCCTGTCTCGGCCCCGCACCCTCTGCCCGCTGCAGTATGTCAGTGCCTCCTCTCCTGAGCAAATGCTGTCCTTGTGTCCTCCAAGCTTGGGCGTGCTGGGTGCAGGACAGGAAGGAGCATGGCCTTGGGAGCCTGGCAGAGCTGGTTCCGACTGGGCCCCGTTGCGATATTCTTGGTGGACCCCTACCTTCTGGCCTCAGTTTCCCTTTCTGTAGAGTGGGCCTGCTACCCTGGAGCTCGCGGTTAAGATCAAAAATGATCCTGCTGTGAAAGTTGGTTTCGTTTGCTCCCCCACTTCCCCCTGGCCCTAGTTCCAGTCACCGCTGCCCTGCAGCTTTTCAGAATTTCTTAACAGGATGAATCTCTGTCACACCAAGGGCCCCTGGGCCAGGCCACCACAAAACCTCTACCCCAGCCTGGCCGAAACAGAGATGGTGCACACACTGCTACTCTGTGCCTCTGCTCATAGCTGGGAGGAGGCAGGAAGGGTCCCTGAGCACCAGCCACCGCCAAGCACCCTGCCAGGCGCTCTACATGCATCAGCCTCCCTCTGCCTCTTTGCTGTGAGCTGTCATCGTCCCCACCAGGAAGGGAAGGCCGGAGAGCTGTCCTGACTTGTCCTGGCAGAGATCTGCGAGTGACGGGGCTGGAGAAGCGGGCAGGAACAAGTTTGTGAGGAGTTTGGAAGACACTTTACCTTGAGGGCAGTGGGGAGCCTTGGCAGGTTTTAGACAGGGAGCTACCTTGATCAGACTTGGGCTGTAGGCTGGACAGGGTTGAGACAGGTAGGGAGGAAAAGAGAAGGATACTAGTGTGATTTCCACTTTCCAGGTTGAGAGAGAGAACTTACCCTGACAAAGAGGGAAAGTGATGTGGGTGGGGAAGCTGCACCTGTGACCTGGAATGAGCCTTTTGAGCTGGGATTGGGTGGGGAGCTTGCCGCAGACCCATGTTGCCTAATATAGGGGCTGTGTGGTCTTGGGCAAGTGGCATGGCTTCTCTGAATCTCTAGTTCCTCATCTGTTAAATGGGCTTAATCACAGTCCGACTTCCTGGGAGGGGTGCGTTCACTGCAGTGAGTAAGACATGCAAAGCAAGCACCGGGCTCCACCTCGGCAGTGTGGGAGGGGAAGCCATCCGGACTGGTAACCCTCCTGCTGTGACCCTCCTGCTCCCAGGACACCTTCCAGCAGGCGGGACTTCCGCACCCAGCACATTCCCACGCCCTGGGACCTCAGGTGGGCTTCCCTCGATGACGCTCCTGGTCCTGGCGGGGGAGGGGCAGTGGCCAAGCGTGCAGGTGCAGCCTCCGTTCCCCCCTGTCTATTTCCAGCCTGGCTGCCTGAGGCCCTGCCAGGTGTGGGCAGTGAGTCAGAGCCAGGTGGAGAGGACATGGCAGCCCTGGAGCCCGAGCTGTCCCAGCCTCCCTCCCTCGGCCTCTTCCAAGAGCACTTTGATGGGGGAAGGGCTGGGCCAGCGCCAACCCCCATCCCTAGTCACTGTCACCAACAGACAGGGGGACAGAATCCCCACATGCCTCATACCCACTTCTTTGTTGACTAGAGGTGGGAGCAGAGGCATATCCTGTTTCTTGCACCCCCATGTGTCTAGGACAGGGCTTAGCACATAGTAGGGATGCAGTAAATGTTCACTGACTGAGTGAACCGTGTTAGGACAGGACTTCAGAGAAACAGGGCTTGTCCCAGGGCTCTGGCGACAGACAGGTTGTGGGTGACATTGGCAGGGAAATTTCCGTTGGCCTCCGTTTGCTCATCAGTGAAATGGGGATAACAGTGTGGAGCGTCTTGGAGACCATTGTGAGGTGTAAGGGAGGCAACTTAGCAACTGCTGGGCCTCAGACTGCATCAGAAAGGCACTGATTCCCTTCCGTGACAGGCATTTATTATGGTGCCTGCTTCTTCCCAAATAGTCAGGCCACGGTGAGTAAAGCTTCTGAGATCGAAGGTGTCAACTTGAATCCTGGACTGCCTTTCACTTGGCTTTGTTACCTAGGACAAATCACTAGTCCTCTCGGAGCCTCAATTTCTATGTATTTATTTATTGGTACAGGGAATCGAACTCAGGACCTTGCACTTGCCAGGTAGGCGCTTATGCCGCTGAGCTATATCCCTGACCCGGAGCCTCGATTTTTTTATTTGTGAAGCAGGTCTGCTGAGGCCACAGTGAGGATTTAGTACAGCATGTTGTGCAAAGGTCCCAGCGCAGTGTCTGGTGCATGGAAGAAGCCATGACATCGAAGATCAGGCTTGTACCTGGTCACAAGGCTCAGCCACGTGTCGGGGTAGAGCAGAGAGCCTGGGGAGGGAAGGCAGAGAACTGTGCTCTGGAACTGACTTTGAAGCCATCTGCTCTATGTCCTTGGCCAAGTCCTTCCAGCTTTCTGGGCTCAGCTTCCCACCTGTAAAACAAAGGACTTGGACCCGTGGACCGGGTATCCTGGCTGTGGCAGGTGTCATAGTCAGGGGCCGGTGAGGTGATGCTACAGTAGAAGAGCGTGGGTGACCTTAGTGTGTCTCACATGTACCTGGCCCTGGCTGGAAGCTGGTCACATGTACACTGGGCCTGACCCTGCAGGCAGTGAGGACAAGCCCAAGGCAGGGGGCAGTGCTCTCTCCCCCACTGTCCCCCAACAGGCTGCTCCCAAAAGCCTTGTACCCCTATCATCCTGATCTGTCACGGTGCACAGTGACATGGTTACTACATGGGCCTAGTTTTATTCATGTAGAAACAGCCTAGAGAGGTGAAGGCACTCTCTTGAGTGTTCAGCAAAGGAGAAGAGCCAAAACTTGACCTCAGTTCTCCTGCTCCCAGGCCTTTCCTGATCCACCCAGGGTCTCCCACAAGGAGTTTTCTCCACCTGGACATCACTGCCTCTGCTCTGGGCCCTCCACCCAACTAATGTCCTCCCCAAGTCACCCTATCTTCTCCCAGGCCGTCCTGTACCCTGGTTCTTACTGAGTTTTCTGGGACCCTGATCACTTGGCTAATGCACTCATGCATCCATCCATGCATCCATCCACTCATCCATCCACTCATCCATCCACTCATCCATCCACTCATCCATCCACTCATCTATCCATCATCCATCCATCCATCTGCCCACTCATCCATCCATCCACCCGCCCACTCATCCATCCATCTGCCCACTCATCCATCCATCCATCCACTCATCCATCCATCCATCCATCCATCCATCCATCCACCCACTCATCCATCCATCCATCCGCCCACTCATTCATCCACTCATCCATCCATCCATCCATCCATCCATCCATCCATCCATCCACCCACCCACTCATCCATCCACTCATCCACCTACCTATCCACTCACCCATCTATTCATCCATCCATTACTCAGTCAGCCAGCCACTCATTCATTCATTTTTTCAACAAATATTTATTGAGTGGTCTCTATAGTGCCCAGCTTTATTTGATGGCATCAGGGATACAGACAGGTGAATAAAATACCATCCCTGTCCTCGTGGGATTTACTGTCGTAATGGAGGGAACAGGTCATAAACTACAAGTGGCTCTGAAGAAAGATAAAGCAGGGTCTGAGGATGGGAGGAAGGGTGTGATCTGAGATGGGAAGGCCAGACACAAACACCTGACTGTAATGCAAGTGCCAGATGCCGATGCTGAGCGCCTGCCAAGCGCGCTGGCGGCCTGGCGGAGGGGGCAGCTCATTCTTCTAGAGAGGCTACAAGGCAGTGCTGAGCGGGTCATCGGGGAAGGTGTCACAGACACTGCCACCTGAGCTGAGCTACAGAGGAGACTATACCAGGCCAAGCACTCTGTGTGTGTGTGTGTGTGTGTGTGTGTGTGTGTGTGTGTAAAGATGGGAGGGGCCAGGAGCATGGCAGCGTGAGTGGAGACACAGAGCCAAAACTGGAACCAGATGGTAAAGGGTGTCTAATGGACTTGATCCTGAGAGTGATAGGGAGCCCTTGAGGGTTGTTGAGGAGGGGAGGAACACCTGCAGCTGGATTTTAGAGCTCTTACTACCATGGTGGTGGGAGGGACTGGAGGGCCCAGGCTCCAGAGCCCAGGTGTGGAGAGGTCAGTTGAGGCTGGCCTCCGGGGCCTGGAGTTTGGAAAATTCCACCCTCCCAGGGAGTCATGGCCTACAAACACCCAGAACTGGATTCCACAGGAGGCAGTGGGGAAGGAGGGAGGGCTCACAGACTGCAGCCAGACAGAACCAGACAGGCGCAGGTTTGGGGCTGAGCCGAAGGGGAGAGCGACCCAGGAGTCAGCCTTGGAAAAGCCGGAGTGAGCGGCGCACTGGCGGTGCTCAGCGTGTGACCAGGTGGCACACACAGCCCGTCCCGGAGAGACGCCGAGGCCCGGCTTTCCATTTCCGCAGCAACACCGTGTGCCAAGAGCTTTGCTGCTTACCGTGTCACAGTCTCACGGCGTCGTCTGAGCTCGTGCTCTTAACACCCCCTTGCCCAGGTGTGGGGACTGAGGCTCGGGACGGGCAGTCACCTGATCAAGGCTGCGCGCTGCTCTAGAGCTGAAGCCCAGGTCTGGGCGGCTCCACAGTGCGCGAGGCCCCGCCCATAGTGCAGGTGTAGGCGAAGGAGTCGGGGAGCGGCTGCTTTGGATCTGGCTGACCTCTCTGGCCTTGAGGTGGCTGTGATCTTGGGACAGTAAAGCCTGCCATCTGTGTGCCCGCAAGTGCTGAGTTTAGGCAGCAGATTTGGGTGTATCCCTTCTAAACTCCACACTGAAGCCTAATCCTCGATTCGACGGTATTAATGGTGGGCCTTTAGGAGGTGATTAGGCCACGAGGGCTCCAGTTTCGTGGATGGCATTAGTGGCCTTTAAAGGGCTGGTGGGAACCAGCTAGGCCCTTTGCCACCACCTCTTCCACCACTGAGGACTCGGCATCCCGCTCCTCTGCAGGGCTCAGCAACAAGGTGAGACCAGGACCTCACTGGACATTGACTCAGCCCGGGCCTTGATCTTGGGCTCCCCACCCTCCAGAACTGTGAGAAAATACACTTTTCTATTTATAAATTACCCAGTCTCTATAAATATAAATTATTTA